TCTCTACAAATGAATAAACACTTCTCTTAAGTATATTTCTCCCTGCAAATGGGAAATGGGTTTTAAACAATAGCAACAAACAAACAAAAGCCTTCAATCTCTGCTCAATAGAAATGCACATAATTCAAGGTCAAACTTCAACAGAAAAATCTATGTAAACCTCCTATTGGTTAAAACAAATATATATTTAAAAATTAAAAAAAAAAGCTCTTAAGTGTAATTCATTCCTATGTAACATATTCATTGAAGGAAACATTTCAACAGCTATTTCATGAGTTTTGGGAGAAAATCATCAATTCCACAGTTTCTTTATACAGAGAAAGAGTATAGTGACAGGCTATGGGTTGCTTCTAATGAGATGCATTTTAAATTAGAGCGCACCTCTCACATTGCCAGCTGGTGCCTGCTCAGGTGCCTCTGTGTTGTGAATGACGGAATGCACACACACACGCACACACACACGCACACACACACACACACACACACACACACACACACACACACACACACACACACACACACACACACACACATCATCATCATCATCATCATCATCATCCTCTGTCCCTACCATTACACATAAACCCTCCAACAAAAAGAGATTTCCTCACTGGCTGTGGGGTCTGAGTGACTGGTGTTAATCCAGGCTTTTACCACACTTTAATTATGTCACTCCTCTTAGTGAAATAAAAATCATTACAGAACTGTAAGGCAAGTTTTCCTTACCAAAATGAGATGAGATTTTCTTTAGAACAGGAAGGAGCTATAAATCTCTTGGACAAAAAATTGGATTTCATGAGGATTTAAGGGTTTGTTTGGACCATTTCAGAAATAAAAACCTACTATAGCCAAGTAGAAAAGAAAGTTGTCACATTGTAAATTTCAGATTTTGCTTTGTGAATTAATCTTTTTTGAAAATGAGTGAACTCAAGAAGTTTGGCAGGAATCATAACCACTGTAAAAGACGGAAATGTGATGTCTGTCCTCCAGATGAATACTGCCTCATTGGTTTGTTTGTTTGCGTGCCCTTGTGTTTCCCCAGCTGGCACGTGGCTGGCAGGTAAGCGGGAAGGAAGGTGGCTGATGTGAGCAGCCAGGCGGGCGGCGAACACAGGCGTGCTCTGAGGCGGACGAGCTCGGATGGGGTTAAAGGTCATAACGATCAGATGATTGGAACTACAGAGGGAAAGTGTGTAGCCATGTAGGGAAAATGGGGGAAGCAGATGCCCGTTAATTAGGGGAAATGTGACGGACAAGATTTGATCAGCGAGGGGTACGGCTGCCTCCTGCAGCACGGCAGCTGTTGCGAGGGGGGATGCTGGTGGGGCTGGTGTGTGTGTGTGTGTGTGTGTGTGCATTCCCATCCCCACAGGGCACCGCCACACTTCACAGACATGCCAGGAACCGTCCGCAGGCCAATGCAGTGCCCTACGGAGAGAGAGACTATTTACAGCACAATGCAATTCAACTCATTAAACTCTCAGATGAAGTTGTATTTGTCGATGTTGACTCTTAGTGGGAAACTTGAATTGTTTCTGTGGAATTTCTACATCCGTAGTTTTGTTTTTTGAAAGTTTGGGGAGGAAATATTGTCAATGTACATGCACTTAGCTAGCAGGCAAAAACTAAAAAATCAACCGGGATCAATTTAAGCAATGTATTTTATTCTATTTATTTCACAGTGGGATTGAAATTTAAACTTAACAACATTTTATGACTGAGGATTGACTGTTTTCAGACCTTTCTGCATCCAATAAGATATCATCTTGCTGCTGTATGGGCTTACATGTCAAACATATATCATGTTAGACAACTGCTCAGAGTAAAGAGTGTATTATTCAGTCTACTATGCAGGTATATTGGAAGTTGGAGTTTGTCATAGTGATACCTTGACAAACAAATTCTAAAAATAATTTGCCTACCCATATCATTCTTGAAAATCTTTACCGTGGAGTTCTGAGTCAGACTTTGATAACTACTGACCTAGACATTTACCGGCATCCCTCCACTGATGGACTCTTTGACATTCTATTTCTGAAAACACAAATATCCCACGCTATCTGTCACTTTGTCCTTCTAGTTGTGAAAACGGTGGAGTTTCAGTAAGCCGCGTAACTTCTCCACCAATGACTCTCTGTCTGTCTTTCCGTCTGTCTGCCTCCTTGTCAGCACACGAGTCTGCCTGTTTGTCTAAGAGTATTTCTATCTACGGTCGTGTCAGGTGTTTCATGCTCTTTGCCCCTTATTCTAATGCTCTTGTCTTGCACATGTAATTAGCATGCTGCGAGACAGACTGACGTGATGTTTGACAATACTGACAGACATTACTAATACAACACACTCAACTAGATTATGATTTTTGAAAATGTTTGCTATAGTTAAAATGTGGAGAAGTGTAAAAATAGTTCACTGAGGCAGACGTGCTTAGTCACAACTACAACTAATACAACTACTTTTTATAAAAATAAATTGCTCAACACTTTTGTCTTCAAAACTGGGGTCATTGTGGTCCAAGGAGTACAGATTCAATGCATTTTCACAGGAAGTAAAGTGTCGACGGGCACAAAAACACTTGGGTTAATGTAAGGACGGATGTGGTTTCCCATAAATGACAGATACACCTTTTAAAAGTAAAACAAAAACTGCACTCACAAAAACAAATGAAATTTAAAAGTACTCACAAAGAAAACCACAAGGGCACATTTCCTAATTAACACTTTTTGATATATGAATCTAATAAAATGTATGTTTTTGTATGTGCTACTTTGTGAAAGTACCACTCTGTTTGTACAAGTTTTTAAAAAATCCTCATTTGCTTCAATACCTCTACTCTTTTTGATACACTTTAGATGTTTTATGTTAAATTTATCATTTCATTGTTACAAGCGGCAGAATATGGCATGCATAAAAAAATATTGCTGCCGAGAAGAAGCCCTCCCTATCTCCCTCCTTCCCCCAACACCCACATCACCAGCACCTATTAAAACTTATCTTTCTTTAATCAATTGTTAAATGTCATAGACAATCATCATTTAACACTGTCTTCCTGTGTGATTCTTTTTAATCTGGTTGTAAATAGGGCAGCCCTGTCTATCACTTCAGTTTCTGCCGTACGCCAGAGACTTAAGGTGTTTCAACAATAGCTCGCAAAAAAAAAAACAAAGAAGCACTTTTTTTCCTCCCTCCTCATCTCAAATCCCCGCAGAGAACACCAAAGGTATGAAAAGTGAAGAAAGGAGGAAATAAATCCAGGCGATGATGAATAATTTGAATGTAGAAATGAAGCTGTTTCAGGAGTGAGTGAGATACCGCACAAGGAGCAGCCATGGGGAGCGTACAATTAGGTCACCCAAAATAAAACGCTATCCTCCAGAAAGTCTTTCTTGGAGTTGTCAAATTCAATATATTTCACTGCCAACAGAATTCTTGATTTGGCTGTGAAGTGAGAGGGCAAAAGAAAAAGAGAGTGAAGGCCTGTTTGAGAGAGACAGCTCAGGACCACATACATTTCATAATTTATGTAAAAATGGGACTTTTTTCATTTAAAGTCAGCCACTATCCTCATAGGAGGGACATCAGCCACAGCCATACTGTCTAGCATGTGTTAAGGAGCATGACATGTTTCTGCAACAATACCTGGTGAGTTTATGAAAGTGTACAGAGACATTGTCGCCCTCAGTGGCTGTGTATTAGATTTAATGACACTCAAAAAGAGCCCTAGCCATGGAGCATGCATGTGGCCGCTGCGCCACCCTCATGTACTGGAGCGCGGTAACAAAACTTTGGGGCGGTGGAAAGTTTACAAAGCATCAATGCGGTGACAAAAGTCAACAAACAGCCCCAGCCAGCCAGCCAGCTTCTCTCACTTTCTCACACTCTCTCTCTCTCTCTCTCTCTCTCTCTCTCTCTCTCTCTCTCTCTCTCTCTCTCTCTCTCCCCACGACACCCAACAGGAAGGCGAGGCTCCTCCGGAGAGCACGATACGGCACGTCTCCAGGTGACAGATATGTCACACCACCTAAAACCCCGTGGCACAATTATACCTCTGTCGCTCTGAAGGGAGAGGGGACGGGAGGGAAGGGTAGTGGGGGAGGAGATGGTTGGTACATAGCGAGAGTGAGTGAGTGAGAGGGGAAGTGGAGGGTGTGCAGGGTTGGTGGTGCTGGTGGATGCTTTACTCCTGGCTTATTCAAAGAGACAGCCCAAGGGATGCCTCTCGCTCTTCTAACAAAGCACTTCTTTTTTTTTTTTCTTTTTTGTTTTTTTCTTGAGTATTGCTGGGTGCGCTCCAGTCAAATCCTCTGGGCCCCAGTCTTCCCCCACAGCCATTTGAGGATGCCTCAGAAACTTTTTCTCGCAGACATTGGGCCTGTTTCAGTGCTGATGTTTCAAATGAATAATCCAGTGCCGCTGCGGCCATGCAGAGGGTTACTTGGGGAGCGAGGATAGATGGCGGTTTAATGTCAAACTTACTGCTGAGGGAGTGTCACTTAATTCATTGTAGTGATCTGCACAGCAGTGACAGTTTTGGTTTCGGTTGTTTTTTGGTAATTTTGTAAAATACTTGATGAGCTTTTCTTTGGCTCAAACTTAGCAAAAAGCTAATAAAATATATATCCGAAAAATAAAATATTACATTTCTATTCACAAACACACAGTTTATATTAGCTCCTTCTGACATGTGATGACTTGAGAGTGCCTAATACGGGCCCATGGCTTTAACAATGCATGAGTGAGGGAAAGAGAGAGGGGACGTGCTCGCACTCCAACTAGGTCAAACTGTCTAAGGAACAAAACAGAGCAGACCTCAAGTTTGCGGAAATCATTACAGGAAAACAAACTTGTCACTCGCTTGACACCCTTGACTGTTTTGCTTTCCGAAGCAGAGAACGATAATAATAATAATAAAAAAAATCTCCATTGCAAATTAGCCTCTATGGTTGTGAAGTTTTCCCCCGTTTGAAATGCATATCAAAAAGCCAGCCAAAGCCACAACTTACCTTGTCGTTGACATCGGGGGACAGGAGAAGAAAAAGCACTTTTCTCTTCGAGAGCTGGTTTCGATTGTATACACAAGCCCCACAAAGGAAGATAAACCAGAGGCACACATTCATAAAATATACATTTGCTTCTTTGTCTTTCGTTAAGATCTTCAACAAATAGTGCTGATGCAAGAAGGACAAAAAGAGAGAAGGTTACAGGGTGTTTGAAAAGTGGAATTGCAGCAGCGTGACTTAATCCCTATCTCACTGTACTTTCTTTATGAATTACTCTTAATCATAAAAAGGGACTCATTTATTCTTAAAACTGCTTTAAGGGCATTATCAGCACTGTTTGCCACACTTCTTCTTACGCAAGAAAGCAGATGCCTTTTACCCTGTACCCCTGCTACCTCCCTTAAAATACTGTATTTCCACAAGATTTGCCACCATGGTGACAGACATCTGTGTGCAACACTTAGTTCGCCTTTATGTTGTAATACATGTTGATTGCGAGATATCACCCGTTTCCTGGCAGTTTATTAACACCTGTCACCTGAATTTCTTCGACACTTTGCACATATAGTCACTTCCTAGCGAACCATGTAGGGCACCTGCTCCTCACCTCATATGTCCATGCCTGCTTCCGTGACTGTGTGTGTGCGTGAGTTTGTATGTGTGTGCATGTGTGTTTGATTGCCGGTACAGGAGAGAGCGGCGGGAGTGACAGCGCCCCTTCCCAAGGTCACATCCAAGGAGAGTCGAGCCAATTACTATGCAGATCAGAGCTGATGGCGTTTAAGGGGATTGCTCCGATGCAATCACATTAGCTGGCCAGAGAGGAATCTCCAGCCTGACCCCAATCACAGGGGCTACAGCGCTGGGGTCAGCCGGGATGGAGGACTGCCGCCCATGTTTTCTTTTCACAAAACACTTTTTCCTTATCTCGAGCAGGCACGTGATTATCAAGCCAAACAACCCTCCTCCTCCACCCTGGGCTTCTTACAGACGTGCACTTGCATATCTATTTTTTAAGGATGCATATGGCATTGCAACATATACAGTACACAGTAGTAGTGTGTGGGCATTTTGGGTGTAAAATAATGCTGCTGGATGGTAGACTGAGGCACAGACAGACACACAACCCAACAATGTTCACAGTTGACCACAGTTATCCACAAACATATATTCGCACTTTTCTTGCCATCTATTTCTCCCTGCTCCTCTCTTTCTCTCCCACTCGTCTTTCAGGTGAACGCCTGTCTGTGATCCGCCGCGGTCTTGGAGGGCAGATTGCAATTTACTCTCTCCCTGTGGGTGAGGTGTGTGTGTCCAGGTTGTAAATATGCCTCCTCTGTCTCTTTTTTTTTCGTTTCTCCCTCTGCCGCTCCCTTTCTCTCCTCTGTCAGTAGTTTCCCTGCTGCCCGTATGGCCAGTAATGAGACTGAGTTTGATCAGGTCGCCTCGGTGTTCCTGGAAAGATCTCACTTGAGCCACTGGCCCGTAATGGAATCTGCATCTAATGCATACATAAATCACACCTCTTTCAGGACATTTTCATATGCATAATGCCCCCCTCCTCCCCCTCCCCGTTCCCATTCCTCTTTCTCTCTCTTTCCACCCAATGAGCTTTGTATGGAGGGATGGTGGGGGAGAGGTGGTGATGGAGGGGAATGGCAAGATAGAGAAAAAGAGAGAGGTGATGAGCCCCTCTTTTTTTGTGCCTTTTTTTTAGAGAAAGAGAGAGACCCGTCTGTAATTCTGTCCTGTCTATTGTGTTGACAAGACTGGCTGAGTGGTGAGATGATGCTAAGATTGGGGAGGATCTTCTTTAGGTGGCTGCTCGACATCTGTTCTCACTGTCTGTATCCTGTGTGAATGTATGTGTGTGTGTGTGTGTGTGTGTGTGTGTGAGAGAGAGAGAGAGAGAGAGAGAGAGAGAGAGAGAGAGAGAGAGAGAGAGAGTGAGTGAGAGAGAGAGGAAGAAAGAAAGAATAAATAATAGCTAAAAAGGGGAGAGAATTTGTCAAATCTGCACATTGGTTGGACTTTGGGTAGACTTGGGGAGGACAGTCGCTACGGCCTCTCTCTCTCTCTCTCTCTCTCTCTCTCTCTACCTCTCTCTTTCTCTCTCCTCTGAGGCTTTGTTATGTTAATGCAGACGGATGTGGCAGATTCACAGTGATTTTTCATCTGCCGGTGACGAGAGATAAAAGGCGAGTGACGAGGTGTCGCGATCGTCCTCACTGTTCGCCTCTCAGTCACTAACAAGCTTCTGCATTGTACCGCCGCCATTTTCCACGCGCTCCATTTGCATCTGCAAGCCTCCACTTCATCCTCCCTCCTAAAAGTTTATGCCTTCTCGTTAGGGCCACGTAGGTGTGAGATTAAAATGTTGGGCACACTTTCATTTTCATAAGCGTACTGACTGCGCCAGTGTGTGTGTGTGGCTGCATGTGTGTGTGTTGTTGTGTGTCTACATGTGCAGGGCACATGTGCATCTGTGTGTGCTGTAAAGGAGACATTACCATACAGCATCTATGCTAGTGAATGTTATTTATTTATTTGAGTGCCTCCTAAGTACATGGCACTTTTTCCCCCGCAGGTGCTCTGCATCTCTTTAGATGATACAAGCTGCCATATCAGCACAGGCTAACCCATTCTTAATCACATTTGCATTTTTATTTTGAGATATTCCTCAAACGTTTGCATTATTGAGGATTTATGATGAGCTCTTCGCCTGATCCTCCATCAACTTCACTCATAAAGAAGGTTCTCCATAACTCATAGGCGAGTGGAATATGCTGTCCCCCTGAAGTAATTAGATAGCAGAATTCTGATATGGAAAGTTTGAATAAATCACTTTGTTTATGAGTGCTGAGGCCTTGAGAACAGGGGAGTCAAAAGGGAGCCCTATTCACACCATGCAAAGAGGGAAAAGAAATTCCCTGTGTGTGTTTTGCTACAGTGCTGTTGAAGTTTGAGTTTGATCTTTAGAGACTAAACATTGTGTAGAAGATAACTCCGGATTAATACAACTCATTTTTGTAACATTGTACTCGCCCCATTGTAATTGCTGATATTTGGGAACACGGCAACAGGGTTAGAAGGGTCAAAACAAGCAGTCTGACAATCAGATTGGTTGGAAACATGTCAAAGTCTGTTTATTTAAACCACTTTATTTGGAAGTGAAACCGAAAGTGACACAGGAAATTTTGCACAGGAAAACTGTGTGCACAGTAAGTACATTAGGTATAAGTTTAACCAATAGACCTTTTTTTACAGCAGACATTTTGATGAAATTATAGATTAAACACAGGCCTCCCTCACTCTGTTTGACCTCACTGGAACCTAAATTAATATTAGTTGTTTAATTTATTGTTATTGTTACACTATAACTACAACATGGCTCTTTGTATAATCAGAATTTGAACCATTAAGTCCAATAAAAAATTATTCTGAGTCTTATCAGTAAATTGTTTTATGTCTTTCATTTGTGTGAGGAGTCAGCAGAAAGCCAGCTGGCTCAGCTAGAGAAGGACCCTAATGTATATTCTCTATTAGCATAAAAATGAAGAAGGCCAGGGAAGCCTGAGAGACTTTTTTTTTCAGTTTATGGAATTAATGCATCGCCTCATGATCTCATCAGTGTTCATTTAACATGGGCTTGACCACAAATTTTTTAACTGAAAGCCTGTGTTACAAAAACACAGGTCATCATCAAGGGGGTAGTGTTCACCATGCAGAACGGTTCTTATAAAAGGTCAGGTTGCATTATGGAAAATGTAGGTTTTTTGCAGCTTGACAATAGTAGGAACTAAGGCTATGTTCACAATGCAGGCACAAGTTAGCCAATTCTGATTTTTTTCCCATGACAGTGTGAACAGAACATGGAAGGATACAGGCCTGTTTTTTTTCAGTGTGAACAGTCATATCAGAATTCTTTTGGCTTTTACGTCACTCTAGCTTAACAGTTGTCAGGCAGCACCCCCACAACTTTATGAAAATGACATAATAGATCACCACAGTACCTCTTTAATACTTCTGTGGCCAACTGTGATGGACGTTTAATGCCTAAGTTTGGATTATTAACTGTGAAGTTTGATGCTGAACTTGCAGTGCTTCACCCAGACTAAGTAAATAAACAGCTGTTAATGCTAATGTTGGATATTTAGCAGTAGCATATAAAGGTATTACCCAACACTACTGACAGTGGTAATATGTTTGCTTAGTTAGCTGTTTGTGGAAAGAAAGAAAGACCCAGACCTTGCTTCTTATGAGTGGGCACCCTAAGTATTCACTGTCTAATGGTAAATGGTCCTGTACTTGTATAGCGCCTATATTTCTAGTCTTCCAACCACTCAAAGCACTTTTACACTACTATCCACCCTTTCACACAGTGATGGCAAAGTCAATCGAACAGAAACTAACATTTATACACATTCACACACCGATGCATCGGGAGCAATTTGGCAAAGAAAATCGAACAGAAACTAACATTTATACACATTCACACACACACCGATGCATCGGGAGCAATTTGGGGTTCAGTATCTTGCTCAAGGAATGACCCGCTCTGTCTCTGGGCCACAGCTGCCCTCTAAACATCTAGTTATGTTCATACTTGGGGACAATGACCTTAAGCAGGTGAATACTACTGTCTCATTCTCTGTCTCTTTCTTCTGCAAAAAAATTCAAATGATGTTCTCTCCAATGCAAAATGAGTGTTTTTGGCAAATCTATGAGAAATGAATCAAGCCGAGTTTTATTAAAAAGGATTTGAATATTCAAATGAACGCTTGACTGATCTTTTGTTTAAGCCCTCTTCCTGTCACCAGTTATTAGCTGAAGAGGGTGAAAAGTTTCCCGTATTTTGGTGAATTTCACATTGGATTTACACTGGAGGGGATTTTATTAAACCATTATTTACATTGACTCATTTCCATTTTGGTTTCCTACAGAAAGTTCAAGCTTGACATTTTTGAACAAACTTCTGTGTTTTTTCTTATTAGCTTTTATTATAGATTTGCAATGATGCTTCAGTAAAAATAGGATTCCATTCACTGTTTACCGAGATA